TCATTGTTCTGATTTGTTAAGGCAATCCCAGATTGACCCTAAAGTAATTGAGGCATCTTCACAAAAGCATTTATTTGGGATATATACAGTGGAATATGTTCAAAATATTTGTATCACTGACACAAATGTAAGACTAAATACAGCAGTAAAGAATATGTCTCTCTACGTGCTGCTTAAAATACTTCAAAGCATTTTTTATTAGTATGTTTTACTGTTGTTTTCTATGTTTAAAATTTTCTTTGAAGGTCAAATAATCAAAGCATCTTTGTTCAAGAATCTTCCTTATGCAGATACAACCAGGTCATTCTCAGTTTTCTAACAGAAATGGAAGTTTGTACCTGGGACTTCTGACATCCAAGAAACATAGTTTGAAAAGCTGAAGGTGTGAAACAGTACCTTGGAATAGCGCTGGGGACTGTCATGTTTCCCCAAGTGTTTTGAATTTTGAACTTGCCAAACCAAATCAATGTCTGGTGCTTTGGTTATACTCAATTTTTTACTGCAGTAATTAACGTGTTGCAAAATGAGATTAGGTAAAGAACACTGTATAAGCTCAAACGTCAACATACTGCAATGAAAGAGAAGGAAAAAGGGACAGGGGCATAATGAAGGACTAGCATGTGCTTAGATCTTATTTTTCCCAAATAGCAGTGCCATCCATTTATTAGCAATCCTTTAGTTTATCTGTCTTCACTGAATAGATCACCATAGTTTTTTTGGACTTCACTATTAACCACAAGATTTTATGATATCTATGGGCCTCTGGACCCAACTTTGGCGGTGGCTTAATTGCACTGCTGCTTGTTGCACACCTGGAAGCGAGATCTTCTCACAATATTGAGAGCTACCATTCAGTGATGTATACATTGAACGGAGCATTTTGAGTGCTTGTAATATGCTGTCTAACCACTGATACTGAAGTTTCTGAAACCAGACTACAAAATGGATGCTTTGCCTTTGTAGATATGAGCTGACTGTTGATGACAAGAAACAAAGTAAGAAGAACTCAGCAAAGGACACAGCAGGGAAAAGCCCGGACAGCATCAAGAAGTTTTATTTTGGAGGCTCTCCCCTCAGAACGCAGCAAGCCAACTTCACGGGCTGCATAAGCAACGCATACTTCACTAGGTGCGTAGCATCCTCCTAAACACATTACCAGGCAGTAGGTGCTTGACAGCTTGAATAATAGCTCAAGAGAACTAATTTATTGTCACAATAAAAATCCCTCTCTCATTTTGTGAGGCTAGACAGTATGTGTGAACAGGTTTCTTACCTTATTTGCCACAGAATCTGTTGGCACAGACCTGCTAGATTGAAATACTGTTAAAGTGGGAATAACTTGATGTAAATCAGCTTTCAGTACTGCACCTGCTAATGCTTCTGGTGCAATGTATAATTTGCATGGCTGTAATTTACATTTACATTATGTAGCTTTCAGCTCTGCCTTGAAACAAAATGATTTAAAGGCAAGTCACAGAAGATGGGGAAGTTAGGAGTTTGCTCATGTGAAAACAGTCAGAATTTGTTTATCTTAGGTGCTTTATGAAATGTTCTTATCTAGAAGATTTTAAAGGGAAGTCGATGCTGCAGATTGATGCTCTGTTTATGCAAGCATGGATACAACAGGCAGAGGTAGTATAGGCTGCACTCATTACCCAAACATTGACTGATAAATCTGTACTTTTATCCACGATCCAAGAATGAAAAAAAGCCAATCAAAACATCCTTTAAACTACCAATGTAAAATTCTGTGATTTTTATGAAGACAATTCCAACACTTGGAAAAAAGCTGTTCTTGTCATCCCCTCTTTGAAATATAGATTGGATCGAGAGGTTGAAGTGGAAGATTTTCAGCAGTACTCTGAGAAAGTTCAAACTTCTTTGTATGGATGCCCTGTTGAATCTCCTCCGATTGCTCTTCTCCATAAGAAAGGAAAAAACTCATCAAAAGCCAAAGGAAACCGTAATAAAAAGGTTTGCTACAAATTCCCCCAATACCACCTTAGAATTTTGCAAAGTTGATACATACTGTGCCATGATTGGGAATGCTCCAAATCATGGATCCAAAATGTAGCACATGAAGACTACTTCAGATATATGAAGGAAAGGATCCGGTTCCTTTACATATTCCATCACTGCAAATAACCCATCTATCTGGCCTACATTTGCATGATTCTCTCTTGCTAGAACTGTAAAACAGTATTTATTACATCTTCAAAAAGTAGCGCAGAAGCAAGCTGCCTTGATTTCTTCCATATCCTAAAGGCAATAAGCTTGCTTCTGTTCTCAGCTACTTCTGTGTGGCTCTCTCTACTGGGTTCAAATAGCATGCATTACTATAAATGAGAAAAAAACCTTCCAGCATGCAGAACTTTTAGTCCAAGCATGTCCTCTTATCCCTATAGAAGAGCTAATATAATCAAAAGCAGAGAGGAAAAGATTCAATTAGGAAAACTGCAAAATAATTTAATTACCTGTGTAATACACAGGTATTCTGTTTTTCCCTCCTTCTGCCTTAAATCAGCATCTATAGTAGATCTGTTGTAGGAAAATTTTACTTGGAACCATTCCCAATGTTTTTGTAAGGAAAAACAACATTTGTACCAGTTTACATACAAATGATACTCTTATTTTATTATGTCCAATCTTAGTTAAAATTTCTGGTTAATTATTCTCTTTCTGTGAAGGTGGGAAGAGATAAAGACAAGATTTCACAGCCTTCAACTGGCCTCAAAAAACTGTATCAAGAAGTGAATATGCAAAGAGATCCTCAGTGCCACCTGCCCATGAATCCCAAGGCAACCGAACGTGCATATCAGTTTGGAGGAACAGCAAACAGCCGGCAAGAATTTGATCACATACCAAAGGATTTCAGTGAAAGGTAAAGTGACCTTAGAAATAAAAATTAAATATAGTGGAGAGAAAGATGTATTTCAAATTTTAAAAAGTCACATATCTGCTCTTGGCTCTTGCCTTTATATCTTAGGCCAATTTTTCTATAGAGCATGTTGTTAGGATATATTAAAAAGTGTTTCAGTTGAGTAAAAGCAATAAATAGAACATGTTTCCAGTTAAGTCCCTCCTGTGGAGTCTTCATCTGCATTGCATATTAACAAAATGTGTCTGCTTGCTTATTTGTAGGAAGACTTTGAGGATGCTAGTTCTATATAAAGCAATGCACCTTCGGTCTCCTTATGCAAGAAGCAACAGCATTAGAGCAGAGCTGGAAAAGAACACAAAAGTTCACCAAGAAATGACACAGTTACATGTTGAGTGGACCTTGTCAGCTGTTTAACGGTTAGGAATCTGCACAGTGCAGTAGGACATAAAGCTATAAAAACCATGTCCAATTCAAGCCATAATGGAAATTCAAGTAATTAATAATGAGTCCAGATATTGTGGACATTTAATTCTCAGGCTCTCACAGAATATGCCATATGGTATGATATGACCAACAAAGGATTTCAGTTTAAAACTTTCCATGAAAGTCTATAAATTCAACAACACAGTGCTTTCTGGAAGCAAACCAGACCACTAGCTCAGAAAAGAAAAGTCCTATTTACTGACTTAATTTTTTTTTTAAAAAGGATTACATTCATTTTAATTCAATAGTATTTTACTTAGGGCAATCCTGATGGTGCCCATATGAAGAAGGAAAACCCAAACTCTAGTATGTCTTTTCAGCCCTACAAGATATACTTGTTTTACAACTGTTACAGCTTCATCTTTGTAATGTGCATTTTAAAAAAAAACAATGACTTGTGATGTTTTAAAACAACCAATATTGTGGAATGTGTGCACACACATGTGATGGAGAACGTATAGATCCTTCAGACAATACAAAGAACAGAAGCTACACTAGACACCTGACATAAGCAGGAGTAATCAGTTCTGGCACTGTCCTACACCAGGGCAGCTTTGCCATTTTTTAGACCCAAAGTAATGATACCAGTCACTAAGAAATCTTCACTGTTCACAGTGCCAAACCAAGTCAGTATAACTTGCTGTGTTGTCTTGGACTTCACAAGGAACTACAGGGAAGGAGAAGATTAGCAGTGAGTCTAGAATAACATTAAAGATTTGTGAACTGTGAGGCCTCCATACCATCATGGTTAAGAAGTCCCGCAATGTTGCTGTTCAACAGGAATGGAAATATAGTGTCTATAGTGTCAGTTATTGGTGGTCTGTATTGATTTTATTCACTCTAGGTATTTTAATTTTTGAAAACAAGTTCCTTGCAAGGCAGCTTATTCTTCAACTTTTACTTCTACTCCAAAAAACAGTTTCTCAGAAACACTACTTTCATAAAGGAGATGTATATTCCTTTGGAGAGCAAAATCTCATTCTTCCCCTGCCTGCAGTTTGATTGAAGTCAATTATATCTGCTCTAATTTTAATATTGTGTCTCTGTGTGCCAGAGCTCAGTTCTATATCAGTTTGAAAACTCACTCATCTCATGGAATGATTTTCTACATCTCGGATCAAAAAGAGATCAACTTCATGGCCCTTTTTGTTGCTCATGGCCGACTCGTTTTTATGTTTAATGCTGGTCATCAGAAGATAAGGATTAAGAGCCAAGAGAAATACAATGATGGCCTTTGGCACAATGTAAGTAAAAGAAAGTAATCATTATGATGACGCTTGCTATCAAAGCTATAAAGACACTGGTGATGTGACAGCTCAAGGAGTTTCCATTCATGTGTTCATAACCACACCTGTATGCTGAGAAACTTCTGCCAATATTTTTAATTTTTCTGTGCAGCATTTTATCAAATCATTAACTAGGGACAGGAAAGTGAGTCAGTTATAAAACACAGCAATTCCCAACACTAACAGCTGAACAGAAGTGATGGAAACAAGCAGAACAGTGAGGCAATTAAAGTTAAGTTAGCCAGGAAAGGAAGGACTGGGATAATTTTGTTGAGCGAATTTATTTTAAGTGCCTAAGCAAGGAGCACAGCTGTCTTAGGCTCCCTCTGCAGTTTATGAAAATAAAAAGACAATTTTAGAGGTCAAGGTGAATTTCCCTCTGTAGGTACCTCTCTCTCCTCACTGACTACAGATGAAGTCTATAGTTACTAAGCTTCTAACTAGGGCACTTAAGTGTTCAAAGCAGGCTGGGTGAATAAAACTAGCGAAGACCATGAAAATGTTAACAGTGATAGCATTGTAGCAATGAACCATATATGCAAATATAAAATAGGCAGATCTCAGTAGACCTTGTGACACCTTGATTACCTCTGCCTTTTACATCAAAATGTAAGACAGCAGGTTTACTATCTAGCCTTTACCTGAATGTGAAAAGAGAGGGTTGTCCAGTAAAGAATGTTGGTAGTTAATAAAACAGGCTTGCAGGATAATCACTCACAAGCTTTTCTTCTCAAACTTCACTGCACAGGAGTGTTCTCTCAACAGATGAAAGCAGTCTTCCTTTTTTTTTTCCCTCCCTTTCTAGGTGATATTTATTAGAGGCAAAAATATTGGTCGCTTGATAATTGATGGTCTCCGAGTACTGGAAGAACCTTTCAGCGGTGATGCTAATACCTGGCAAGTCACTGAACCACTCTATATTGGGGGTGTAGCTCCAGGAAAAGCTGTAAAAAATATCCAGGTAAAGCAGACTCCTATTACATCATCCCATACCTCTATGTACAGCTAATGCAAAAGCTGAATGTAGGGATGAGTTCAGGCAAAAGCACATTATGGTCCAAATCCTCAGCACACTGAGGAGCACACAGCTCAGTTCAAGTGGATAGCAAAGCTCCCACAGGGCTGGGCTGGGCTGGACTTCCACAGATTTCCAGCAGTAACTGGAAAGCCAGTGGTCCCTGAGGAACAGAGAAATCCTAGTGTCACCCAAGCTCAGATGAGACAGGTAAAGTTAGGTGAGATCAGTTTCAGCCCAAGGTCTCAGATATAGATGAGTTTCAGAGAGGTTTTAGTGTTGTCTTAGTGTCTCTGTTTTAAGATGGTATCTAGAAGTCAGGATTCTGCTCTGCATCTTGATACTGAAGTATATGGAAGAGTGTTAAAGCAAAATTAACATAACCAAGTCTTCCTCAAGGTAATCTTTAGTCTTATGTGCCTAACAAGATAGATACACTATGCAGCAAAAGTAGACCCCTGTCTTGTCTTGAAAGTATGAGGTATGTATAACATTGCCTTGCTCTAGATGCGCTTTGTTTCTCATGGTTCGGTAAGGATTGTTTGAGAAACAACACAAGCTGGAGTTACCTTGAAGTCATCAGAGAGACATGAGAGGCTACAAAAAGCATCTGTCCTTCTTCTCTTCTCTGGAAACTGGCTTTTAATTCAAATCTGATGCATCAGTCATAGCCTTATAGGTCATAAACAAGTACAAATAAGGACAGAAGAGTTTATTTCCTTCCACAAGCAGTTTATCTACTAATCATGTATTTTTTTCCCTGCAGATTAACTCTGTCTACAGTTTTAGTGGTTGTCTCAGCAATTTACAGCTCAATGGAAGATCAATTACTTCAGCTTCACAGACATTTAGTGTAACACCTTGCTTTGAAGGCCCTTCCGAAGCAGGAACATACTTTTCATCAGAAGGAGGATATGTCATCCTTGGTAACACACTACTAAACAAATGTATCCCATAATAAGACTAGTATGCACTGTGCTTCAGAATGACATACTTCACTAAAGGTTGTGGTAATTTCTGAGGCTGTGACCTATAAGGATGATTAGATACAGATCATTATTGTGGCAAGCAGCTGATGTTGGCAGGTCACAATGTCACCATGAAACTTAACAAGTTGTTACATAAATACATTTGTATGTACTTATTTCAAATAATTAGTATAATTTCACAAGGGAACAAATAATAATATGGTAAAAATTATAACAGACATACAGAAGCCAATGTGGCTAAGACAAAGTACACCAGCAAATGGTGATCCCTTAGTTTTTTAATTAATAAAACAGCATGTAATTAAAAAATCCTAAGGAAAGGTTTTCTGCATGTCTTGATAATGAACAGCATGACAGAACACATCTTTTCTGTCATTTAGGTCTGCTGTGTTCCAGGAACTCTTTTATGAGGTATTTTTGGTCACATAGGCTCTGATCTGAACAGGAAAGGACACTGGACATCCCTACTCACTGGAAACACCAGTGTTTTCTAATTTGCTCCCTGGCCTGCCACCAGATTGAAAAAGGGAGTTTCTTCTACTGAATCATCAAAGCTCAAGTGAGCTCCTCTCACTCCCTGTATAAAGACTGCTGAATGTATAGTAAATTGCACAGGAAGAAACTGTCAAAAAATACAGATAATCTACTTTCTGCACGCCATTTCATGCTAAGAAATACTTTTAAACAAAATACATTTTTTAAATAATGAGAAAAATAAAGAAACCTTTAGTAGTACTCCAAGCAAACAATCAAAACAGAAGTTGAGATGGGTCATTGACAGCACACTATGCCATCTCTTCAAGTACGTGTACTTGACAGCACACTACACCATCTCTTCAAGTATGTGTACTGGCACATGTTTCAGTATATTTAAAGACAGGACAAATAAGTTCCACCCTGGGCTTTGAATTTCTATTTTGACTTTCAAAATATGTCCAATTTCATCATTAGCTCTGTATAAAAAGAATATTATTCTTTTTACCTCACAGATGAATCCTTCAGTTTAGGCCTGAAATTTGAAGTTGTTTTTGAAATACGTCCCCGAAGCAGCTCAGGAATTCTACTGCATGGTCACAGCGTGAATGGAGAGTACTTGAATATGCATATGAGAAATGGACAGGTATAATGAAGGTCACATTTCCTCCACCACTTTGACTGATCCACTCCTGCTTACTTGGGCATGTAGTGATAGGATGAGGGGTAATGGTTTCAAACTGGAAGAGGGTAGATTTAGATTAGATATTAGGAAGAAATTCTTTGACAGCAGTGAGACACTGGCACAGGTTGCCCAGGGAAGTTGTGGATGCCCCCTCCCTGGAAGTGTTCAAGGCCACGTTGAACAGGGGTTTGGGCAACCTGGTCTTGTGGGAGGTGTCTCTGCCCATGGCAGGGGGTTGGACTGGATGAGCTTTAAGGTCCCTTCCAACCCAAACCACTCTGTTATGCTGTGAAAAGCCTGAGGGGCTGGACTCAGTGTTTGGAGTTCTCTGGCAATCACCACTGAGAATCTTGTGCCCCCCAGTAGAGAGATGATGCTGCTCTGCTGTAGCATTTCCATGAAGAAAGGTATTAATTCACCTAACTACAACAGAGGTGTGAAATTCAGAATTAGGTTCGCTTTCTAGTTCTGCCAGAGATTTGCTGGTAAGCTTGTACAGGTAACTTAGAAGTCATTCTTAAGTTCCCTATCTATTCCTTTCTGACATCTTGTCCATTTGATAATACTTTGGTTTTTCATTACTCTTTTCCTTATTAAGTGGCTAAAAGATGCCAAAACATCATCTGATGCCTTTAAATACTAATTTGCCACACAGAAAAATTATAGAGCAGCAGTACTAGAAAATTTGAATTAAATTAACTGTTATTTTTTAGTCTTTTTTTGAACTCTTCCTTGAGTTCAAATCACAAATTTTGCAGAACTATTGAATCTAAAAAAAAAAGAAATAAAAATAAAACAAACCAAAAAACCAAAACCCAAACCCTAAATCCATGAACTAGAAAGGTGCTTTATTTTAAGGAATTTAATGAAATTATGTTTTTCTTTCACTTACATACAAGGCATGTTTTGAGTGGGGAATACAGCATTATTACAACAGAAGTGATAAAAAGAACAGGAGGGGGTTTACAGTGACAACTACACTATTTTCCTCCAGGTTACTGTGAAACTAAATAATGGAATCAGGGAATTTTCAACTTCAGTGACACTGAAACAGAGTCTCTGTGATGGCAGGTGGCACCGAATTGCAGGTCAGTAAAGCATTATCATTCCCCAGGTAAGATGACAGAGCCCAGTTCTCCCTCCCTAGATATCCATCTCCATGGATAGCTAGTACACTGGGAATGAGGTCATATTTTCAGTTCTTTCTTTTCACCTGTGAAGACACAAGTTTGTGTGAAAGAGACAGTCGTATTCCTCCCTCAGATATAGGTACTGTAGAGTTTCCTGGTAGGACGAGCACAAGCTCCTACAAATAACAAGCAAAGATGGAAACTCCTTGTTCAAAGAACACAAGACAGCCTAGCTGAAATGCTGCCAACCTTTCCTAAGTCATATACCAGATTGTAGTATTCTTTTCCCAATTAGACTTTAAATAAGTTGGTAGAATGTAGCAGGCACAAGTATATTAAAGGTCAAATAACAGGACAGATCTGGAGCTCTGCCCCACACAAGGAGAAGTCTACAGTCAGAATTTTGCCCTTATGCCAGACAGCCACCCTTTTTTCCTGGCTTTGAAAGTCAAAAAGTACTTCTGAACCTCAGATATTTTGAATTCTTCTGCCTCCCTGTCTAGATGTTGACTTGGGATGCCTCTCAGTGTTACATCCAGAAGAGATCTGAGTGTGCACCCTATGCATTCTGGTTTCCCTTTGAAGGAAACCCAGGCACACAAGCAAGGAGGAAACCTCACTGCATTCTAGGACATCCTGTATTGGGAATGATTTGGCAAACAGTTTTACAAAGCCACTTGCCATTGTATGCTCATACCCTGCAGACTGGACACAGCTGCCAGCAACCAAGAGCCCTACTCAGAAGCACCCTTGCTCCCATACTGTATCTTCCATTGGCCCTGCTCTGTGCCAGAATCTGCCCACATGCTGTCACTGTTCGATTCCTCCCAATCTAGCAAACACTAAATAAAGCTACTTAGATCAGATAACTCCTGTCTATCACAGAAAACTCAAGTGCTACTTTTTATGGTGTTTTTGTTCCCTGTTCCTTCTCCTTTCAGTTATTAGAGATGCTAACGTGGTGCAGCTGGATGTAGACTCTGAAGTCAACCATGTGGTAGGGCCACTAAATCCAAAGGCAACTGACCACAGGGAGCCAGTGTTTATTGGAGGTGTACCAGGTAAGTTTTTAGCAGATCTGTGGTATGTTCTCAAATTTAAACATGGTTTCCAGAGAAAACATAGAGGCTTAGTCTTCATCTCAAAAAAGAACAACACATACCTCATGTGAACAACCTGTGATCAGAAATGTTCTGCCTCAAGTTCTCAAAAAAAAAAAAAAAAGTGTTGCTTCATTGAAATTAAAACATTCACAGTTGCTGGAGAGTCAGATATGGACCCAGTAGAGAAGGCAGCCAACTAGAAAACAAATCTTTTTTTTTCCATTTTACTTATCAGTATGGGCTTGCTGTTTCTTAAGAATTTATTTATTTATGGAATTGGAAACTCACTGTCACTGTAACTGGAGTCCCAAGATTTTTTGCGTTGCTGGTAGGCTCCTTTACTCTTCTTCAAGCAATGACATCTTTGAACACAAAACAAAACATGAAGATTCTTTTCCTGACTAGTGATTTCTATTGCACAGATGTCTGCTAATGTGAACTTGTGACTCACAGACCATCTGTGTAGCGTGGGCCAAGATTACTGCATTTACTTCCCTTATTCAACAGACAGAGCTACTCCATTGGAGTTCATATGCAAACTGTAATCCACACTACGTGATTCAATTTTTAAGTCATCTCCTGCACATTCTCACTGAAAACATGCAGTATTATTTCTCTGTGCCTTGCATGTCAATCATGAATAGCTCTAACTATAAAATTTATTATATTGCTTATCTTGGACTAGTGGCTTGAGTGTGTGATGTTCTCATCCATCCCACACTACCAGGAGGGAAAATGAGCCTAAAGGGAATAATAAAATCTATTTGTAGATGACTGTTCACTCTTTAGATCCAAACTGGGATTTTATTAGGACAGAACTCTTCCCAGAGAGGTAATGTAAAGTGATAATTTCAAATGCTGTTCTGCTTCATAATAGAGCCTTCTATTTCTACCTTAACTATAGAATACTAAAGCAATGCCATACATTGGCTATATAATTATCATTCTGGCACAGAAAAACCTTAAAATGAACTTCATGACACCAAACAAGATTTAATACTAATACCACGTAAATACAGTAAACTAAATGCAAAGTAACAAATCAGACATAGACGACAATGTATGTAATGTTAAAAGAAATTATAAACTCACACCCTGGGATTCATCTACTCTTTTACTTAAAAGAAAATGCAGTTTTCAAAAAATGCAAGATTTGGTCTCTATTGACTATGTAATATCAAGACCTTTGCATAAATATAGATAACTTCCCATACTTACTCTAATGTAAGGCAGTAGGCCAGACATTTTAAAAGGCCCATAGAAAATTCAGCAGAGCTGCAGTTAATAGCAAACTGAAAAGATTCTGCTACCAAACTCATTATTTTGGTCATCGTCAGCTCTAATTTATTTTTTTTTTAATCTGCTTCTTTCAGAGTCTCTGCTAACATCCACCCTAACTACACGCAACTCCTTCATTGGCTGTATTCGTAATTTCATGATTGATGAAAAACCAGTGAGTTTTAGTAAAGCAGCTTTGGTCAGTGGTGCTGTGAGCATCAACACATGTCCAGCAGCCTGACAGTGCACTGCAGCAGTCCTGAAAAGTACCTTAGACCACAGAAAGAAAAACAGAAGAAAAGAAATCATGTTCATCAAGAGAAGAATATTGAAAAAATATCGAGGATATAGTTTCATCTACAGAAAGCAGTATGTTTAAGAGTCACTTCTAATGTTTATGTGCAAACAAAAATCACCGAAGAATAAAAGGCTGTTTCTTCTGCACTTCTCTTACTATACCACAAGAGTGAGCTTTACTATTTCTTATAGTGTATGTGTGGCCAGTCTGTTACATGAAAATGTGGGATTGTAAAAGAAATTAAAATTATATTAAATATGTTACTTTCAAGGTAGATCCTCTACATCATTTCATTCCATACCTTAGGTCACCCTTTGTTTCACAAGAAAAGCTCTGCTAATGCACATTAAAGAATAAAGCTAGATAATAGACTTACATCACAAATATTTGTTTCAAAGATTTTTTTTTAAATTTTCCATTCAACTCATATATATATTTCTCAGTTAAAATGGAGGGCAGAGAGCATACCAATTATGTAAGCTTACAAACAATGAAAACCTAAAATTTTTATTCCACTTCTAGTTCTCATTAATATGTTCTAGCACAAAGTGAAGAGAGGATGAATATCTTTTAAGACAGAAATTTTATATAACTGACCATCGACATAACCTAGGTAATTTAGAGCAATACTTGCCTTATGTAGGAAAAGAGAGGAGACAGAAAATTCAAAATTTCAATATTTTTCTCTAAATTTTTAAATTATATACAAGCACAGCACTATATCTACAATCTGGATTGTAATGTCATTTGCACTAACGTAACACAAGCAAACACGAAGCGTAGAAAGCAGAATCACAGTCACAGTTTCAGGCAAATCCCTTATCGCATAAAATCACCACTTGTGAGACTGCTCTTCAGTTTACAGCAGCAATCCTCAAACTAGGAACATGTTCCCATGGAATGTATCCCTGAAGATATGCTGCTGCAGAGGAACTTGGGGTGAAACAGTAAGATGCAAACCAAAGGCAAAGGGCTGCAAATTGGAGCTATGTTAAAACCACAGAAGGTAGATGGAAGTTAATATGAGGCTTTAGCTCATAGTAGGTTTGAGCATCAAACAGACACAAGTCTTCAGCAATAACCTACAAGGCATCAAAACCATTTAGGTTTCTTTTCTTTGAAGAATAAACTACTGTTGGCAGAAAGTTTTACGATTGCTGGCCAAATTATTGTTGGAACCAACTCAAAATGTGGCCAGCTGCAAAGCAGGAAAGTATGAAAGGCGAAGATAAAGGACAACGCCCTACAGTTTGAAAATTAATAGGAGCTCATCTGGAAAACACACAAGTGATAACTGGAATCCAGAGATGCTGAATGGACAGCTGAAGGAATTGCCAGGATAAGATACATATGTCAGCACTAATCAGTAGCTTCCCGACTACTCTCCCAATAGGCAAAGTGTTTTGACAGCTTGAAGCAGTCTTGGCTCACTCTGGCTAAAAAACTGCAAGTTTTGGGCAGTCTGGCACAGGGACCTTCCGGCAGCTGGAACCCTGTCACTGCCTCTCCACTTGTCCCTGGAGTCCAGTGTTGGGTGGTGAGTGGATGAGAGAAGATCGCATGGCTCCAGCAGCCACTGCCACTCCTTCCACCAGCCTTGGCAGCTCTGCTTGTGCTTTCAGCCCCATGCCTGTTCTAACCACCTTCTCCTGGATGCCTTCTCCCATTCTGTTCCCAGCAACTCTCAGGCAATATGCTCCTTAAACTGATTCCCTTCCCAACCCCATAGGGAGGTCCCCTACTTCTGGTAGTGGTATACAGCCCCCTCTTTTCATCACTCCATAGCCCACTGTTGATACTTCAGAAGCAAGCAGTGAAAGTACCCCTCTGAATCAAGCACATCATGGGTCTCCAAATCCAGTTGCCTTCAAGCCTCATCTTTGTCCTGGACACCAAAACCAGTATGCCTGCTCAACTCCTTCCTGCTTCCAACTACCTAGACTCTGAACAGAAAACATGTAAGGCTTTTGGTTTGGGAATTTTTTTATTATTGGGCTGAAGGAGAATGTCCTCAAATCGCTGAGTTGGGTTCCCAGTGGGTACCAGAGCCCATGCATGGTGTCAGGGCTGTGCAGCTGGGAGCAGGGCTAAAAAAGTTTCTCTCCTTCCAGAGGCAATGAGTTGTTACACTGACTCAGTCCTTCTCATGACACCACAACCCAAGCTAAGCTTCCTCAGGCCCTGGTCTCCAGGACCCTATTGCTGGAGAGAAAAGAGCAGCAGATTCCCTGCTTAGATAGGTTCGTTACAAGGATCACTGAAATTCCTTTCAAGGTTATCTGCAGCTGCCAAGCAGAGATAGCTGGGAATAGCACATGCTTGTGCTCCCCAAGAGCATCACAGTTTAGTGAATGCTGGTATTACAGCAGAGCACCGTATGTTAACTGGTACACACATACTCAGAATGTTTTCCATCTTACACCTACTTCAAACTAGAGCCTATTTTCTCATATCCACATCCAAGCTCTGTGAATAAACAATACTTTTCTTAGCCAGGTTTGCTGCAAAGAGATTTGGGTTTGTTCAGTGGATTTATATTTAAGAATTACCTTTCTGATTAATCAGTCCTTTGCATACTTTATATATGGAAATCTAAAAATACAGCAAAATAGTATACGAATAAAAACCACATTAAAATTCATAAACTGTTCTTATTCAATTTACTTCTTTTCACTTTATCACCAGCTAATCAAGCCCATCAGTATTTGTGGAGGATATCCTCCTCAATTTTCCTTTCTAGGGTGCAGAGAGGCAGGTTTTCTCTCTACAGAACAGGGTTTCCAAAATAAAATACTAAATCAGAGGATACTTGCAGACTCAGGAGAGAGCAGAGAATAATGTAAATTTCCCTGTCCCCAACATCCACATAAACCTGGAAACTACCATTCCATATGCACCAAAGAAAGTCTGTATGTGATGCATTAATACACATACCTCCGCATGTATTTCAAAACTCTTGATGTTTAAGAGAAGGTTACTGCCTAAGCATAAATCTTCCCAGAACTCAGTTTGTCTTCTCTATCTATCTTAAAAATTCTAACTCCAAAGTACAAAAACCTTAATTTGCAGATTTTGGAAAAATGTACAGGTTCTGAGGCACAGATTGTCCATTTGCATTTTCAATATGAACGTAACAATCTCAATTTTGCAGAAAGCTTACCAAAAAAAATGAGCACTGACCCTAAGGAGATTATAGCTTTTCTCTGCCACCTTCAAGGTTTTAGAAAGTGTTGTTATAGGCATTATGTAAATTAGGGCTACAACTACACTGTTGTTATATCACGGAATATTCTGAAATTTGACATTTGCATGGCTATATAAGAAAGAATCCAATTTCAAATTGAAATACTCAACAAGCTTCTTCAAAATAGAGTATTTATTTAGCATCTTTGGCCTTTCTATCTCTTATTTCTGAAGATCTGTAGAGATCTCCCATAGTTAAAAGTTCTTATCAACCTTTCCTTCTCTTCAAGGATCATCAGTATGAACAACAGCCTGAAAAGAAAAACAAAAGACGACAGGTTACAGGTCTGACAGTAATTCCTCAAACGCCAGCCATTTTAAGTAAATGAAAAAAAAAATCTTCATACATGAACTAATCTGTGATATAAAACAAAGAATAACATTAGATTAAACTCCAGTGTATTCTCCCTATAGCAGCATGTGGTCTCAATAGTCAAATGAATTAAAACAATGCTGAAAGTATAGCATATATATTTAAGTTGTGATGTACATTTCGCTCTTGTTATGGTTGGTATTTAAGGGTTATTCGCAGTGGTCCATGTCAACTCATTTCATCTCAGTAACACAGCAAGTTATTCCTACAGTTCAAGTATTCAATTTGTGTTGCAAAGCTGTGGAACGCTATTACTGTACAACATCAACAACAAAAAGTTACTGAGAAAATAAGGGTAAGGAACACACATTAGCATAAGACTGTTTATTAAATGACTAACACAGACAAAAAGTCTCTGAGGGGTCCTGACTAGATTAATGCATTTACACTATGGTAGATGAAATACAGCTTCGTCTACAACGAAACAGAAAGCCAGTGTGTGATTATCCCTTTCACAGAGTTGAGCTGCCTGTTTCATTAAACCTCTGAGCACACACATCAAGATAAACTGATTATTACCCATCCACTTCCTGCCCTTGGACCTCCTTTGGAAGCCAAAATAATATTCTCACACAAATGTGAATCTCAATTGCGTATCTGATTCATGGTGTTTCCAAGCTCCGTGAGAATAATCACTTTACATTTGCTGTCACAGACCTCTTAATAGTGTATTGGAAGCCAAAGCACAGGGTTTCTTGCTGCAATTTCATGTTCAATGCAATGAATCCTATTAAGCTGAACCTTGGCAGAACACATCAAGCACAAAAACTACAGCTAACTGAAAACAAGTGGAAAGTGCAGCTACCTACACAGTGTAGCTAACTACAAAAGAAGAAAGCAATCCAGATACAGTAATAAGAGACTTCTGTCGACTTTAAACTAAGCTTTAGAATGTGTAGAAGCAATGTTGTACTGCTTTTGGCCTAAGTAAGGCCAAAAAGACGTGAAGGGATGACTTGAAGAAATGATGGTAGGCAAGAAGTAAAGAAACAGTTTCTCATCTAGCAGCTAGAACAAACTCTAACCTACAGATTCAGATCAGTTCAGGTAACTACAGGGAACAAAATTAAGCTATAGGTTATAACTAGTCTGTCCAGAGAGAGATAAAAAAATGCTATCTGCTTTCCTGATTATTAGTGTAGTTTTACAATGGTGATTAGTTTATAAAGGAAGTGTTTGAAGAAGTATTACACTATTCATGCTAAACTTTCCACCTGCCTATAACACTGAAGCGAATGATCCTTTGCAACTTCAAACGCAAAGCTTGAGTAACCTTGGGCCACTTGTTACCTCTTCTTAAAAACAATACAAATTTCCAGTAAATGGATTTTTTCTCTTTCAATTAAGTTTAAAAAGATCAGTCTTGATATGTATTTTCTATATATAATGTATTACTGTTTTTGTATTTGCTGCAATACATAGTTCATCTTTCCAGGAAAGTTTTTTTAAATAGTCATTTAGTATAAATTTATTTTTCTGGGGACTTACAATTGATCTGTACAGGATCCTTGGTCTTGTCCAGGAGTCAGCATCATGGCTTCTCCAGAG